CAAGCACCTCATTATAATCCTAATTGTCTACCTGACATGCTGGCAAGCCAATCTCCAATTTTCCGCTTCTTTTGAAACCACCCCAGACAATTGATGAGCCTCCTCCGAAATGTCTCTTTGAGTACAGCTGCGGGTCACGACGAAGGTCCCTCCATTAGCAACGAGATCCACCCGAATAGCCAAAGATAAGCTTTTTCTCACCAGTCGAGGTTGTCTAAGGGGAATTTTCCACAGAGCGTCTTTTATTCTTATCTTATTGTTTTCACAAAGCGCTGTCTGTCCGGGTTCAACGTCCCATGTTGTGATTTTATTTTTGAACGGGAATTCCAAGCCTTGCCAATCTGCTGCGCATCCATACACGAAGCTTTCTTCATCTTCTCTCGTGTCGTGTGCTCACTCGATTGGATGGAACACCGAGTGGTCTTTTTATAAGAGGGAAGTCATTTAAGCGCGAACGCGGATAGCAGACCAAAGAAATTTTGAGACAGTACAGGCTATTCTTGTGTTGTTTTGAACAAGTAACGATTGAAGACGACCCTCATCAGTGTTGGGAGCTTAGCATCAGGATTCTGGATCTCTTTCCCAACAAACGAGGACGCACGACCGGGTTGACGTGCGATTTCGCAATTGGAAGGTCCAGCAACATGAGGACCCCACATCTCTGCTTGGTCCTCTTTAGAAAAATGCCTGTTGTGAAGAGGAATAATGCCAGAATAAGTAACGAAAGAAAAAGTAAACATAAAAAATAGAAAGAAATTCAATTTCATAGAAAATTGGTGCAGAAAGTTGATCTGCCTCAGGGTGTCCGCATACTTTTGGTAGGGCCAAGAAAAGAATTCCATCAAAAATAGTTTCCTAAACTAAAACGGAATCTTTTTCCCAAAATGTCACTGTAGGTTATAGACCACAAGGAGTTGACGGGTAAAGGTTTCATGGCAGAAAACGTCTTTAGCTAACCCCTAAGAATTGATTTTAGGAGTGCCCACATACTTTTGGTACGCACTGTACCTGTGATTCTAATATATTAGCTTCGAAGATTGCGTGTAACAACATGAAATGGATCAGTTTCGAAAGTAAAGAAAGTTAATGTGATGCAATGTCAGTGGACACACTGTATAAGTCGTCATAAGTGCTCCTGACCCCTAGTCGGGGATCAACGGCGACTTCAATTTGTCTATAATGTTTCAAAAGCGATGCTTGAAAAACAACTCAACCATTAGAGTACAAGACTTTATTCCTTGATTATTCATCACGCCCAAAACATCACTTCTCCACATGCATCATTGCAGAGTTGTACTCAAAATAAGGCTCTAAACCCAGGGGTGGGCCGGACGAGAGTAGTCGTCCTTCTGGCTCTGCACATAAGCCACAGGTGGCACCACACGTTGCCTTGAGCTCTTTTTCGGACGATTGGCAGAAACCAGCCACCGTCTCCTTCTTCTTTTTGCATCTGTGAAAGTGATGAGAAGAAGAGATTCTTCTAAACACGTCACTTTACAAAGGTTTTTGGGAAACTTACTCATCGGGATCTCTGTCGCCGCAACACAGCCCACACGACTTCATGCATTTGTTTTTGATTTCTTGTTTAGTGTGGAATTGCGATTCGCAGAATCCCTTGGGAACTTTTGCCGCACAGCTGTAATAAAGAGAATCTCATCAACTTTTGTCCACCATAAAAGTCCGTAGGCCTTGCACGTACTATTTTGGATCGCTGTCCTTACAGTAGTCTTCCTTCTCCTTTTTCTTGAAGAGGTTGAAGGCGTGAATAGTTACGACAACTCCTAGGACGAAGAGTATTGTCTTCATGCTGAAAACAGCAACATACAGCAGATAATTCAAGGGGCTTCAAGAAAATAGTAATGTATAAATGACCTTGGTTGTGAATGTAATCCTACGATATGAAGCAAATGTGTGTATGTTCTAAACCCCAGAGCGGCAACCCTTATATAGAACCGCACTTCCAATCTATTGAACAGCTGCTGTAGCGCACTCCTCCAATTAAGCTTCTCTCTGTTTGAAGTAGTGACGTTCTAAATGAGACAAGAAGTACAAACAAGAGCATGATTCGTTCTGTAGTATTTGCTGCCATGCGTTTCCCGCGTTACATAACATCAAATTGCGAACCTTAACCTACTTTTCAGATTGATCAACATCTAGAAAGTCAATGACAGGAACGTCGCACTGCATTCTCGCCGCACTGACCTAATTTGATAAAGCCTAGATAAAACCTCTTGCGTACAGTAAGTTAATAACGTCAGAGAGTATCTGATAGATAATGTTAAAGGACGAATTCACGATGAAAAAGCAACCCATTTCAAATTAACCTAGGGATGGTGAGTGGTACACGAAAGAAGGAAGAACCATGAGAAACGGCCCAGAACCCGAGAAATGGGACCCCTTCCTTGCCCCCATTGATGCGACTCTCATCGCTGTGCCCTCTTCAACACTACGCTCTCTCAGCTATCTAATCACTCGCCACGTATTGAACTACGGCGAGTGATCAGATGATCGGTGGGCGGAGATCGCCGGACCCGCCAGCTTTGAGGCATGATAGGTCGCCGAGGTCAAATTTTTCGAATTGCGCGTCAGTTCGCACCCTCAGGAGGTCCGTGGGTCCCTCAACTAGGTCAGTTTCCCTTTCTTCGACCTTCATTCTAATCGTGAATTCCTCCTTTAAGGTACAGCTATCAAAACTGATGTAATGCGCAGCACATTCGACGTGACATTTAGTAGTAAGTTGTCCGATGAGAAGTGTCATTTGTGCTCAGAATTTTAGGGTTTTTTTTTCCTGAATTCTATGTTTTCACTTATTCTTGTATATTGCCTTTTGAGGAAGAATCGTTGCTCTCCAAAAGACCTTGTTCACTTTTGTACACAATGCTAATTGAGTGAGACAGGCTTGCAAATTGGGAGGTCCAGTACAGGTCGCCAACTAAAACTCTGTGTTCCTTCAGGAAATCAGTCAGCAATGTACGATATCGTCGCGACATTTTCCCAATAATCAACTTTTGGATACTCAAGAAGTCGCATCGTTCCTCTCTCTTGTAGTGTTTGATGTCCACCCAGAACTCGATGGATGGCCGCTATTTCGCTAAATCCAGAGCCGAAACTTTTGACCGTGAAAAAGCTGAAAACTGGTGACACATCCAGAATAAGTAGTAAATATGTATGTGCGGGTCATCACTTATGTATGGATTTTCCGGCATTTTTAGGGCATTTCAAAAAATTGAACAGAAAAGTCAAAAATGACAGAGAACAATGCCTCTTCTCACCAGTCACGTAACCTGGAAAATTTCTCGAAGGGCCACATCCCGAGATGTCAACCGTCGATGGATTCTGGCGGTATATCTGGCAAGTGTTCAACGTAGCAAAGAAGCTGGTAGAGACAACACTCGAATGCCTCAAGACGTTTGGAGCCACGTCAGATGAAAGTTCCTGTACTGCAGTAATTCTCATTGACTAGGTACCTCATTACAAAGGCATACAATTCTGTCGAAATCATACGTAAACGAAAAGCGAAGCATGATCGCAGATAGACCCTCCCAAAAAGCATGAAATAATGTGAAAACAAAGAGTTCTAGAGTAGAGTTTCTGATCAAAAAAAAGTACCACTCTGAAGTGGTCAGCCGGAAAAGCGGATATTATAATTGATCGATAGGATTTCTTGAAGGGTTCAATAGTGAAATTTTGGAAAGAGGTCGTGGATGAGTTCGGGATGCATTGCTGACTGATCTCATCAGTGAGGTAGAATTTGAGCTCGTTACCGATATGACTGCTTCTCGCCTACTGGATCACCCTTGCAATCCAACAAATCAGTCTATTCAGTGCTTTTGTAAGAGGTACAATGTAATGAAAAACACCACCGATGGTCAATATCTTCTGTAAGCTCTCCACGAGGTTGTTAAGCAGACTTTATTGGCTTACGTTTCGGCGGGGTCGCCTTCTTCAGAGCCTGAAAGGATCGAAGCAATTTATGACTACCCGACCAAACGCCTCCGGACTAAGTTACGGTAAGTGGCCCACCTTGGTATTGTGTGATGACCTGTTTTGTTCTCGAATTTCAGTAGGATAGCGGAGGCGTTTGGTCGGGTAGTCATAAATTGCTTCGATCCTTTCAGGCTCTGAAGAAGGCGACCCCGCCGAAACGTAAGCCAATAAAGTCTGCTTAACAACCTCGTGGAGAGCTTACAGAAGATATCAGCCATCAATATATCATGCCGAGGTTCTTGCAAAGCCGTACATTTTGAACAGCATTACTTTGAAGAACCACCTATGCATAAGGTGTGCTCTGGTGAACGCTTTCATTTCGTGATCGTTCCTCCTGAGTCTGTGCACATCATATTATCATTTCATTTTTTTTATTTTTTATTTAGCTATTGTTTACAATTGAAGTACAGGAATATAATGAATAATCAATTGAAACACAGGATGACAATAGTAAAAGTGAAAAATTGCAATAAATGGATGATATTGACAGAGATATGAATCACAGAAATATAAATTAGAAGCATGTCTCATAAGATAGGAGGACCAGATTCAGATTATTTCAGATTAGATAAGATTTTTCAGGTCACACAAGGGTCCTTCAGTGGTACGAAATTGTCATAGTCATCTCTAAATAAAAAACTTATCTGTGGTAGACGTCACTAATCTAGCAAAAGGTGGTTGTCACGCTAGTCCGTACCTGGTCGCAAATTTGAGTAGGCAGTTTACGAGCTATGAAGAAATTGATCTTGTTTCGTTATACACTGTCTCTCAACTCTTCCGTGCAGCACTATGTTTTTAAGCGGCCGTTTGGAAACTGCAAAGTATACCGGAGAGTCAGTTCTGGTTCACATCTAAATGTCCACAATCTATCAGGTGCTGCCCAACAATTCATCACTAATTTACTAATATTTATTGATTTACTGATAGTTTTAACACTTTGATTTACTGATAGTTTTACATTTATTCACTAATATCCTTTAGCCCACTCAGAACATTTCACTAGCGTTCTCGACCAAAACACAATTAATTGGACAATGGCCGAGTTAGAGCAGAACTTTCACTCGAGGCAGTACTCAAGCACGCACCGCTTGCCCGATAAGCGGGCTCGAGTCCAGCCTGGGGTGAAAGCTTTGATCATAATCCAGCATTCTTGCGAAACATTCGCAACGCGACATGCGAACAGCAGTTAGCAAACAACTAGTTGGGTTTTCTTCTCTAATAAGAAAGAAGTTTTTCTTAAAGGCACAACCCAGGACCGTGTGAACGCTTCTCTTCGGTCTGTAGTATAGCCCCTAAGGACAATCACAAATGTGGCGTTCCCGTGCACGGAAACCAACCGACAAGAGCGCTTGGGCCTTGCAAAGTAAGCTGCTGAAGCTGCAGATTTTTTCTCTTATCAGGCTGTTGTCTGGCGCTCTCTCATCTGTGCGCTCTCGCCTCATACTCTCCTCTCCGCGCTTAGTCTCTCATTCCCTTAGCACAGCCGATTAGGAAGGTGAGTGAGCCCTTAACCTGAGCGTTTTCGACGGATTCTTTTCCTTTTTTCTTTACTGCCGGCCCACTTGGCACCAATACATTCGCATTCGTGTGCAAGAGCCACACCATGTGATCCTGGGGCATGCCTTCAAACATCGATAGATCAAGCCATGTTGATGTACGAAGATGGCCGATTTGATATGCCCTGGCTCACCAGAGTGTTTCTATCTGAGTCAATTTAAATGCACTATACAATGCTAAGAGAATTCTAGTTCACTTAAAATAACTCTGTAATGTGGTACCTGATGATACGCTACCAAAGGTCACAAATTCCATGATTGCATCGTGTGCACTTCTTTCATGAATCACGTCATCGCAGGGAAGCGCTTTTAGATGAGCGCGTCACAGCATTGAGGCAGCTGTTCAAAAGATCGGGAATATAGTTCAATGAAACCGTTGACGCTCTAAAAACACGCTCTAGAAACAAAACGCCTACACACTTGCTAAATATATTTGGCATTACATCCACACATCAAGTTATTCTATGGCCTGCAATTTTTAATCTTTCAAGCCCTTGAATTATCTGCTACATGTTTTTAGCATGAAGACAATACTCTTCGTCCTAGGAGTTGTCGTGACTATTCACGCCTTCAACCTCTTCAAGAAAAAGGAAAAGGAAGACTACTGTAAGGACAGCGATCCAAAATAGTACGTGCAAGGCCTATGGACTTTATGCTGGAAAAAGCTGATGAGATTCTCTTTATTACAGCTGTGCGGCAAAAGTTCCTAAAGGATTCTGCGAATCGCAATTCCACACTAAACAAGAAATCAAAAACAAATGCATGAAGTCGTGTGGGCTGTGTTGCGGCGACAGAGATCCCGAATGAGTAAGTTTCCAAAAACCTTTGTAAAGTGACGTGTTTAGAAGAATCTCTTCTTCTCATTCACTTTCACAGATGCAAAAAGAAGAAGGAGACGGTGGCTGGTTTCTGCAAGTCGTCCGAAGAAAGAGCTCAAGTGAACGTGTGGTGCCACCTGTGGCTTGTGTAGAGCCAGAGGACGACTATTCTCGTTCGGCATACCCCTGGATTTCGAGCCATATTTTGAGTACAGCTCTGCAATTATGCATTTGAAGAAGATTTGTTTCGAGCGTTATGAAACACCTGCCTAAATGGTTGAGTTGCTTTGAAGTCTTTCTTTGAAGTTTAAGGTGACGTCGCAGTTCATCACAGACTAGTGAGTCAAGAGCGCTCATGACGACAACAGAGTCTATGAACATTGCACCCCATAACAAGCAGTTCTTTCGGAACTGATCCATTTCAAGTTGTTACACACAGTCGAAG